TCTGCATTATAGCTTGAAAATCTCTATAAAATAAACCATGAAAAAGTAAATTTAAATCTTTGGTTTTACTCAGCCTAGATATGTATAAAGCTATAAACATGAGGTATGCACTACTATCTAGGATCTAATATGACAAATGCTCTTCACAATGTTTCTGTTAAGCCTAGGGCCTCTAAAAACTTTGGAAAAGCTTTAGGGAACAGGGATTGATTCTGCGCCTACTGTGGTTACATTCGACCAAGATTTCTCTCGCGTCTCCTAAAAAAAGCAGCGGATATAAGTCTAGAAGATGCAAAGGAGTTTCTTTGGTTTAGCCATAGTAGCAGCAGAGATCGTTTGACTAAATACCTAGTTTGTGCAAGTAACCTTGTAAGAATGCCTGTGACTATTCTTAATATCTTCTATAAACTCTAACAAGGCAAGGGGGATTCTCTGGTTTTAAGTCGGGTTGCTATCCAACTATATATTTATTTTTGAATGTACATTTTATCTGGATATCCGAAGCTGGTGGAGAGCAGTGGACGTGAACCGTCCTGCGCTATATCAGTGCTGGCTTAGATGCAACGGAGCTCGCTTCAGAGAATTCGTTCTGATGTGGTTGTCTATAATATTCTCCATTGCTTTAAGCACAGAAGAAGCTAAACTTATTGGCTCAAACGATTTTGCTAGCGAGTAGTCTCTTCTGCGAAGCAAAACTGTTACTCATGATGCCTACCTGGTGGGGCAGTAGAAGCTCCTCGGATTCCATCCGTATCGAAAGAACCGATCACCCAACGGATAGATTTCCAGGTAAAAAAAAAAAACAACCTCCAATCCGACGGAGACCTTCTGGTCTCTCTTGGTTCGAGCTCTAGTTTTGGGTGAAGGAATCCAAGCAGAGCGACTGTCCTTCCATCTTTTGAGAGGCCTTGAAACAAACTCCCCAGAGCAGATTCTAAAATTATCCGTTTAAGCTTTCTTGACCTCCTAATTGTTTCGGTTAAAATATTTGCGTACTCTCTGCGCCTAACTACATTAAACAGCTTACGCAGTAGCTTAGGCCGAAAATCCGTTTTTTTAGAATTTTGATTTGTAATAGCAAAAATATGGTCCATTATGCTCTAAAAACAATCTGCGTGAAAGATGAAAATTTTTGGTCAACATCTTTGGCTCGCCCAAGTCCATCCACCATCGACAACCGTTTGAGCCTCTGTGGGAGAGAGGAAGCCTCTATATCTTCTAGTAGCGTGGAGTGGCTGACGGTAGTGTCTTCGCTACCGAGGAAAGAAGTGTTATCGGCCAATGAGATTCTCCTTTGTTGGTTGGTTTCCCCGTTTTGAGCAGTGGGACCACTCTCCCAACCTTCCAGATGCCTGGGTTAATGAGAGTGGCCATTGACATATTGAGTACCTCCGTTAGGTACGCTACTCCCGCAGGACCCAAATTTTTCAGTATCAACATGAATATTCCGCTTGGAGGCTTTCGCCTTCCCGATGGCCACCGTAACTTCACCGCTAGTGAAAGCAAGGCGGGCACAAGTTGTTGGCAGTTTGTCCAGCCTTCTTGTCACGCTATGCTTGGCTTTGTCCGCCGGAGGATGCAGTGTGAACTGCCGGCTAAAATAGCTCCAGCATCGCTCCGGGCCCGACGAAGCATGGTCGCCGAAAGAAATTTAGACCCTGTCGTCGTGCTTCGTCGGATTGGACAGTGACCCCACGGTTGACCAAAGTCTGCTGACACCAGAGGCGAAGTTACAANGCCCGACGAAGCATGGTCGCCGAAAGAAATTTAGACCCTGTCGTCGTGCTTCGTCGGATTGGACAGTGACCCCACGGTTGACCAAAGTCTGCTGACACCAGAGGCGAAGTTACAAGTTTTCAGATGCTCTTCCCACTTCTTCCGCTTATGTACGTTCACTAGTTGCCGAATCCCCGCGTTGAGATCCCTGATACGTGGATTTCCGGGATCGGCCTGACGAAGGTTGTCACGCTCAATGGCTAGAACATTCGCTTCAGCAGGGAAGTTTGGACATGGATCCGTGATGCATCCTGCCGGTACCAAGCGAACTGCAGCAGCAGTGACAACCCTGCAGAACTTACGTTCACCAAGGTGGATGTCGGTTGGTGTGGGGAGCGCAGCGAAGGTGCTCTCAGTAAATTTCGCGAAGCCTTTCAAATAAGCTTTAGAAAAGTTAGTATAAGTCCGGTGTTCCGAGGAAGCAAAGTCGGTTCGTTTATCGATCGAGATGACCATGGGCAGATGGTCTGATGCCAAAGTCAGCATAGGTCGCTATGATACGCTGTTTATCAGACCAGCGCTGACTATTGTTATGTCTGGCGAGCTGCCCATAATCCTGGTGNACTATTGTGATGTCTGGCGAGCTACTGCAGTTACCCATAATCCTGGTGGGTGCGTCGTCGTTCATTGTGCAGAATGTCGAATCGTCTATCTGCTCAGCCAAGTCTGTTCCCCTACGATCGTTTGACAGGCTTGAGTGCCAAAGATCGTGGTGCGGTTGTGTGTGTTGTGTGGTCTTTCGTGGTTGTAGTGTGGTCTACTGTGTTGTGGTGCTGTGGTGTTTGTGTTGAGCTGCTCAGGTGGACTGGGGTTAGCCGTTAAGGCTGCTCTATTTGAGCAGTAGGGGCCACAAATGATGTGGTCCACTGCCGAAGGGTCCGTAGTCCTGAGCAGACTCTGAGGTGACTCCACCCGTCGCAAGCATTGCATTTGACTGAGGTGGAGTTGTGGTGTAGTCGTCTCTGGCATACACAGCAGGTATAGGTTTCTGGCCCTGGGTTTGACTCGATGCGAGCCCTGAGCAGAAGAATGCGTAGCAAATATAGCCCTATGGGCGAACAACTTCTAGAGATACTTCGCCGACCTAAACGGGGTTAGATCGCCGGAACAACAGCCCTTGTTCGGGTAGAAAGCGAGTCATTCCGGTACATAGAACCGGCTGTCGTGGGAATGCTATTATTTTGGTGCTCTACTTTGGTTAAGATAACATCAAGCAAAATTTTAACTGTCAACTTACATTTGTTTGCCTCTGAGCAGCAGCAGCAGCTGCCGCCGCAGTATTTTGTCGTTGTGGCGATCGCAGCTCCAGTGTGGTCCGCGATCGTGTCGGCGGCTTTGCGTAGATTTGTACGCTTATATTTTTATTTCGCGCATTTTCTTTGTTCAGATTTGACTGCGTTTCGTTGCCGCGCTTCGTCTTGTTCACAAAATGCGAAGAAGCGGACTTTTTCAGTGACATGTTGTCGTCTAATTTGTGCAGCTCTGTAGAGCTCACCGATGACACCTGTGACAGCTTACTACGTTGCTGGTGGGAGGAGTTCACATGTGATTTGCTACTCGTTGATATGGCTATGTGAGTAGCGCGTTTTTGTGCAGTCGCTGCTGTTTTCGATTTCGAGCCTTTATATGCTGGTATCTGTTGCGCCGGTCCTATAGACGCCGTTGTTGAGCTAACCGAGCCTGGTACATTAGACTGTTGATGATTATTTTGATTTACCGGAAAATCTTCAACCATCTCTGTATGATTATAATTTGATATTATGGGCGGATTACTTTCATTTAAATTGTATTCAATGTCATTAGCAAAAGAGTTCGCCATCGGCATGTGGAGATAAATTTCACGTTCCCCTGGCATTTTCAACGAACTGGGTCCATCAAAATTTAGCGAACAAAGGCCGTTGCCACTAAACGAACTGTACCCGGTACTGGATGCCATCGATGGGAAATTATATGGAGGTGATGTATTAGATTTATGCGCTAAATGACTCGCGCTCGTATACGACGCATCATAAACACTATTACTATTCACAGTATGTAATAAAGGAATAGCAGACGTTGTGGCCGGGGGCGGAGAAGTAGTGTCCAATAAGGATTCGTCGACCAACTCAAGACTCAAGTTTGGCGATGAGTGGCCGTCAAGACTGGGACTCTTGTTATCCTCATTTTCCTCCACCAGCCGTGAAGCTTTCGGACCTGTAATTGAGAGTCTCAGCTTCTGACTACCGCGCGAAAAACTCTTTCGTGTAGTGGAATTATGGCTGAAAGCGGTGGGTGTTATGTTTGACGGATTGTAGAACGGGAACACTCGGTCAATACTTAGTGCATTTATTGAAACAATACTTTGTTCATAGGAGCCACAGATCTGCGAAATAAAAATTAAAAAGTGTTTGCCCGCAATGGAAGTCTCATCCTATTAACGTACCAGTTTTCGATTAACAACTTTCATGTCACCCAACGCAGTCCAAGTGGATATTATGTGATCGAATTCGCGATCCGGTTCCCATCCAATTACAGAAATACCTGCTGCAGTGCCCACAAAGAGACACTCCCCATTTTCGCTGGAAATTTTAGTTTGTAAATAAAACGTAAGTGATTTTGGTATGTAATTCAAATTAAATACCTGAATGTAATGCACTTTATTGGATGTCCATAAAACTGGCTCTCGGACTCAGTCTGAGAGATACGCGCTTGACTCTCCAAATCGTATATGCAGACGGTGCCATCGACACGTCCAACGGCCAAAAGAAACTCAAACGGATGAAATTGTATGCAAGTAATAGCAGCTGCGGGCGGCTGTTCAGTAAAATCCATGATTTGTTTACTCTTACGTATATCCCAGATTATCACGGACCCTTCTGTACCAGCAGAGGCAATCCATAATCCATCCGGCGAGAACTTTACAGAGTTAACCTGAGCGATATGTCCTCGATAAATCTTAATACACCTATTTTGATTCCTGACGTCCCACAGCCTGTTATTTATATGCGAAGAAATAAGAGTTCATTTTATAAAAATTTAGAAGAAACGATTAAATTTCGCATTTTTTATGGTGGGTTTAAACATAGTGCGAAAGTATGTAAGTGTATCTGGGAGTAAACTAGCAAAAAGTTAAACATCATATTTCGGGCCAGTTTTTCAGGGCCAGTTTAAACTTAGATCACGTAAACAGCCTTCATATTTAATTGGCTAATCTTAGTTTAACCAACTGGCTCCCGCGATTAAACTAAGTTTAAACCGCAATCGGATTTAACCGCGGCCCGAAAATCTAGTCTTTAAAAACACTTTGTGGAGAAGGAGTAACTGCTAAAGTAGGCTAATTATAAACAGGTACGATTCACCAATTTAAACAGGGTTTGTTTTGTGAAACTTTCTGGCAACCCGAATTAGGAACTTCCATTGTAGTCACTGAGAAAATAGTTAACCCGAAACCAATGAAGTTCATAAGTGACGATGAGTCGAGGCCAAAGTACTGAAGTGTGTGGGAAATAAGCTATATGTCTTGCAGACCCCTAATGGTTGGATCCGCCAGCATCCAAACCAGCTGAGAGACAACAAAACAAATGAGTCGTCAGAACAAGTCGATGTTGACATTGATCTGGAACCAGCGGACTCCTCATCACACACACACCACATCATCACTCAGCTGTGCAGACACCTCCTAATAACGAGTAGACATATCATCAGTTACCGAAAACCAGGATCAGTTTACCTTAACACAGCTCAGACGTTCGCAAAGGATTAGAAAGAAACCTGTTAAATTAGACCTTTAAAAAATAAATTAATTTCGTAATACATACAGAAAATTAAGCCCAGGGGAATGTAATAAATGTAAAACCTTCTGGCAACCCAAATTAGGAACGTCCATTGTAAATCAACGTGGTAGCACTTGGTAAACTTTTGACTTTTAAAGTCATTCCATTGTTTTCGCTTCTAGCAGCTTCCAGGCGGTTTTACAAGCTCTTCAACTAGAAAAGTTACTCTTAAGGAATCTTCTGTAACTTAAGTTGCATTTATTGAATAATCTTCACGTACATAGAAGCGACTGCCTTGGGACAGTTCAGGCGAAATTAATGTGTGGACACCGGACCTAATTCTTAGTTATCCAGACTCGACCCGGACATATGTAGGTACCCAACACATTTCTGCCCTATAACGGTACCCCCATTACACGAACCACCCCTTTACCGGGTTTCCACATAGTTTATTTAAGTACCAGAATCTAAACATTATAAATATTTATTTCATTTAAAATTGAACTAGAAGATTTTCCATCGCCGAACGAAAATCTTTCACCGTTTTTTGTTGTAGCAGCTTACTAAACGCCGTCTAAATCAGTGCATCGGCATGTTGTGTTCATTCTCATTTAGAATAGAATAGAAAATAATAAAGTAAGCAGTGCGACCAGTAGGTCTGTTGGGCCCTCGGCTTATAGCAACACTGTATCTAGCCCTAAATACTCTATGAATTTTAGAACAGATACCGAGGGTAGAGAGTGTATGTGCACTTTTCTTAGCCATATATCGCACGTAATAATAATATACAGAATTATTTCAAAATTTTAATTTGGGGAAAAACCCAATCAGAAGTTCATCAATTCGTACAGTTGGTATACCAAAATACAGATGGAAATACATACACATATCTTCGTCATTTTTGGGAAGTTTAGTCATCTATTAGATATTCTGCTTATCAAGCTTATTAATTGTATAGTGAAATCTCCGAAAACGTAAATTTTGGATTACATCGCTATATTATTAAACGTGTGATATATCGTAAGCATCTCTCCTCTCTTCGTGAAACGGCCTCACACTCCAGGAGAAGTTACAATAGGTTCTCTTTGGCGGAGTCACAAAAGCGACATAGATCGCTGGATCAGATCCCCAACTTACGCAAGCGGCCTCTAAGCCTAAAATGACCCATCAAAATACCTGTAATAATTCTTAGGAGACTTGGAGAGGTTTATAAGTAATCTGCATCTCTTTAGATTGTACCCCCCAACAATAAGCTGTTGGCGTGACGAAGTCCCATGGTGTTACGCCAATGGAGTACCCTCAGTTTACTTTTTTTCTTTTCTGAGCACTTCTTTTATTTTGCTGGAATCCACCGCAAAGAATGGCTCAGGTCCTATCGGGGCCGAGGCAGCAGCCAGTCTCCCATATGCCCTAGTACCAATATTAGTTGCTTAGTGTTATACTCAGCAAGGGAATTAAGCTTCTCAATGCACTCCAGGACCAATAAGGATTTGACCTCGAACGATGAGAGAGCCATAAGTGCCGTCTGACTATCAGCATGCTCGAAGTTTCTCCGGCAAAGGACTGTTGTTTTAACGATCTACTCTTGTCAAGATCGGTGAACCCCATTAAAAGTGCATCGTTTCACTTATTTTTTCTGTTTTACTAGTAATCCAAAATACGTATGTATTTTAAACTTATTTTGCCTAATTGATTTCTATCCGAGTTTTTGACCGTCGTCAAAAAACGGAGAAGGTTATCAATTCGTCGGAATATATATATTTTATGTATGTGACCGCATAACTTTGGACCACGTTAATCAATTTCTATAATTTTTTTTTTTTAAGGAAAGGTGTTAGGTCAGAGGTGGTCCCATACTAAAAGCTACTTGTTCTTAATTTGAAAAGGCAGAACCGTTTTTTTTGTTTTTAATTGCCATTTTCGGAATAACTCGAAAACTGGTTTTCGTAAAAAGGCCGGATAATCGAACACCCTAGCTGACACCCCTTTGGTCCGACTTAAGGACTATTCGATTTAGGCAGCGCTTAGTTGTGCCGTTGCAATAAAAACTAGATCTAAATTGTTCCCGCAACAATCGGGTCTAAAACATATGAATATACAGTTGAGGCCACATAATTAGCGAGACGAATTCTATACAAGTTATGACTATTAATTTTTTCTTTATTTATTTCTTTTACGTCTAAGAAAAAAAGTTTGAAATTTGCATGAAAATGTGTGCTTTTGTTTACTTTACTACAAAGTTTTAAGCTTATGTTTGATTTTCGTTTCCACCAGAGACTGGCATGCGTTGAACATCAACTATTGCATACTCAATCAATACTGCTGCTTTGTATGACTGAGCAGC